GGCCTTCTTTGGAGAGAATGGCAGGCGGCCAGAGCTCCTGTGTGACCTTCAGCCAGCGCCCACTCTCTCTGGCTGCCTTCCTCCTAGAGCAAGGCCATCTGTGCCCCGGCTTTACCTAGCCCTCCACTGGGGTCCCAGGAGGGCTGGGGTAGGGTTTTCTGGCTCAGAAGGTGATTTTGGAGAAGGCCTGTGACCCCCTGGCCCGGCCCGCCTGCCCCCGCCTGCCGCACACCACAAACACACCTGTGTACCTTGGCCTGACCGGCCTCCACTGCCAGGGAACCCTCTGGGGAGCGACTCTCCGGGTGGATTTCCTCAAAGGTGGGGCAGGCCATGGTGGAGGCCTCCTGACCTAGGGCCACCAGACCCTGGCCAACAGCCCACAGCTCGGGCCGAGCCCTGGGCCTGGGATGCTGGCCTGTGGGGAAGGTCCTGCCTCCTGAAGGCAGGCCGAGGGCCCCCCAGTGGGGCGAGCCAGAGTCGGGGCTCCTGCCCAGCCTGCTTTTGTCCCTGCCCCCAACCGGCCTGCCATTGCAGCAGAATCCAGTTGACAAGGACAGTTAGCCTCGTCTGGTGGCGGGCTGGGAGAGGGGAGGGCCGGAGGGCGTCAGAGCCCCCACCCTGTGCCCAGCCCTGCGCACCCCAGAGCTACCGCTGTTGTCCCAGTTACAGATGAAGACCCTGGGGCTCAGGAGGCTCAGGTGGCATGGGAGGGAGCTGAGGGGACAATGCCCTGTCTGAACAGAAGCTTCAAACCGACATTTCTGCCTTGGGGCAGAAAGTGGGCGAGGCCACCGTGCCACCCACAGCCACGTGACCCCGGCCTGTCCCTCAACCTCTCTGTCCTCAAGGTAAGCAGTAGCACCACCCTCTAGAGATGCTGCACTAAGTGGTCCTTTTGGAAAGGTGCCTGGGACGTCAAGATCACTGTGTCAGATGAACAAATGAAACAAAGGTTAGAATGCGACAATGACAAAGAGAATAAAGAAAGTTACAGGGAGAGAGGCTCAGGCCTGTGGATTCTAGAAAATTCCTCGACTGAGGTCCCTCCAGGGCTTCTGGGCTCAGGGAAGGGGTAGTCACCTGAGCCACACCGCCTGACGTGGCTGGCCACCCTCTGGTAGTCAGGTGCGCTCAGGGTTCCTCTCCCACCACCCACCTCTGCCTGGTGGCTCATCCCGAGTGCTGGGTGGGGACGTTTTCTCCCGGGTACTCAGTTCCACAGGTCCCAGGTCACAAACCCATCAGCGTCTGCTGATGCTGCCCAGGTTGGTTCTCCGTATCCCTGCACGGAGCACGGGCCACTCACAGTGGCACCTGTGAGGTGCTCAAGGTGCAGGGCGGACAGGCCTGTGCACACATCCCCACCTGGGACTTCAGGGGACAGGGCTGCGGGCCCAGAGAAGGGAGACACCACGTTGCCTCAGAGGGGCATCTGATTTTGGCTCTGGAGCCCGGAGGGAGCATCTGCTGTCCCAGGGCTGGTACCACTCACTGTCCCCCTAATAGAGATGACAAAGCAAAGCTCCAGGAGATTAAAGAGCCTTGTCCAGGGTCGCAGCTAGGAAGGGACATGTGGCTCCAGCAGCTAAAACTTGGTCCATTTTGATCTGGACTCAAAAGCCAGATTGCAAATACCCTCTCCTTTTGGGGACCTGGTTTTCTGTCTTGCTAGTGGGACAGGAGGGTTGGGGGGGTCTGCAGGATGAAGAGCTCCACTGGATCTGCCCAGTAAGGAGCCACAGCGGGCGCCGGCTCCGCCTGGATCCCCGGGCTCCTCCAGGTGATGGGGGCTGGGAGGGAAGGCAGGGACACCATCACTTAGCGAGAACCCTCGGCCACAGGCCACCCAAGACAGGTAGGGGGGTTCAGGGAGGGGAGGGCCATCAGAGTTGGGCGGGTATGGGGACGCAGGGCTGCTTCTGCCTCGGCTGGTTTTATGACCTCAGCAGGTCAGGTAGCAACGATGACAGCTACTGCTGTCACACCTACCGTGGCTGAGCGCGGTGCAAAGCACCTGAGTCCCTCTGCCTCCTCCATTCTGGACAGTCCCAGAGGGGCTGCCGCCATCCCCCACTTCTGAGATCAGAAACTGACACTCAGAAGCCAGGTTGGTGGCACATGCCTGTGATCATGGAGTCTTTGGAGGCTGAGGAAGCAGGAGGATTGCAAGTTCAATTCCAGCCTCTGCAACTTAGTGAGACCCCATCTCAAAATAAAAAATAAGAAAGAATAGGAGATGTAACTCAGTTGTAAAGTGGCCCTGGGCTCAATCCCCAAAAAAGAAAAGAAAAAAAGAGACTGAGGTTCAAAGAGGTTAAGTGCTTGGCCAGGGTCACAAAGCTGGGATGGGAACCTGGCATGGTTTCCTCTGGAGCCAGTATGTGGAGCCCAAGAGAACACGTAGAAGCCGTGTGGCCTTGCAGGACCCAGGCTCGAAAGTCTCTGCATCTGACCTCTGACAGCCCCACGTCTGCCAAGGCAAGGGGAGCATCAGCATCATGCTAGAAGAGGGGCGAGTGGGAGGGGAAGGGCTTGGGGACCGTCTTTGGAAATGCCACCACCGTGCTGGCACCTACGTCCGCCAGGCGCTAAACATGGGGAGGCAGCAGTAACCAAGTCCCTGTGTCCTGGGTCCAACATTCCAGGAGGGAAGGGGCCCATGGCACAATGAGCAGAAGCAGGCACTGAGGGACAGGTTGAGGACTCGGCGGCACAGGCAGAAGGAGGTCTGGGGACAAGACTCTAAAGGGATCAGCCAGAACAGGGACAGTCCAGAGGCCCCAGGGCTGCAGATGAGAGTGGGAGAGGCTACGGGGAGAGGATGGCAGGCAGGAGGAGGCATGAGCAGGGGTCAGCCTTTGTGGGGTCCTCGGCCTCTGCTCTGAGAAACAAGGGAACCTGGAGGGGGTTCAGCAGAGACAGCTTCTTCCTCAAAGGCAGAACTGGGAGCCAAGGAGAACTCAGTCCAGTCCCCCGATGCCCTCCGCGTGCATGCCTCTGAGGATGAGGACCTCACCTGTCACTGTTAGGGGACTTTCACGCCATAAATGAAAATGAGCCTCCTTCTAACTCCCCGCCCCCATTATGGGGGACCAGTGAGTGTGTCCCTCCCAATCCTGTGATGTTCTAAGTGGGGTGCCTGATTCTCAAGTCTTCACCCCGAGCCCACCTGCTTCTCTCACCAAGCCCCCTGTACCTCCGTCTCTGAATACCCCCTGTGCTGGTCCTCTATGTCTGTCCTTTTTCTAAAACAGAGGGTGACAAACAGCAGCACCAAGGTCAGATCTGGCCCACCATCTGTTTTTATAAATAAAGTTTTATTGGAACACAACCACGCCCACTCATTTTTGTCCATGTGGCTGCTTCTGTGCTACAACAGTAAGTTGAGTAGCATCCAGGAAATCCCAGAAAAGTCTGAGGCATTACTATCTGCCCCTTTAGAGAAAGTTTTCTGACCCCTGTCCTAAATACATGTGCCCCAAATTTCCCCACAATTGCTCTGGCTACCATGCTGAAATCAGGCGGGAGAGGCAGGAGGGAGGCAGAGGCCCATTGGGAGGCTGAACTCCTAAAGTCAGCCAGTTGAAGCACCAAATTCAGCATTTTCATGCTTTTACCATATTTTGCACAACTCCAGTACTAACTTCTACACCCACGTTTCAAAATTAGATCCTATACTCTAGGTCTCTGTAAAGACTTCTAAGGCCCCTCTCTGATAGACACCCATTGTGTTTTCCTGAATCACCAGCACCACGGGGCCTCGAGTCTAACCTCCATCCCTTCACGCTGCCCGTCAGTGGGACCCAGATGGAGGCCAGCCAGGGTGGGACCCTGAGTCGCAGTTAAAAACCGCAGAGTCTTAACTCAGAAAAGTAACAACACTGAGAAGCGCAGCGGGCACGAGGCCCAGGAGGGGCTGGGTGAGTCCGGCGGAGGGGACAGGCCAGCGACCTCTGCACCAAAGGCAGGACAGAGCCCACGCCCAGCTGCCCAGGCTGCCTCCCTTGGAAACTTGGACTCTCCCCTGACTTTCCAGAGCAGAGATTTTTTTCAGTCCCTGTGGAAACACACACACACACACACACACACACATACACACACAAACGCAAAAGCCCTGAATTGTTTTCAAGGGAGAAAGAGAAAAAAAAAAGAGAGAAATCACTCAAAGCTTTGACCCTGGGCTGCCTTAAAGAGAGTGCGGCTCTGCTCACGGGCCTGGAGGAAGAGGCTGAGAATCGAGTCTCTGTTTCTCCTTCTGCATCTCCCAGAGCCTGCATCTCTCAGTAGCTAAGCTGCTGACCTCTTCTGCCCTGGGCCTGTATCTGTGTCATGGAAGCCCCAGCCCCGCCCCGCCCCTCCAGGGCTGCTGGAAGGCTCCAGGAGAGGGGGAGTCGGGAGCTCAGGGGCGGTACCCCTCAGGCTCCCCCGAGCGGGGGCTGTGCGGGGAGATGCTGGGGAGGGAGCTCTCCTGGGACAGCGCCGCCCACAGCAGGCTGCAGGCTGCAGGGTGGCACGCGGGTACCACAGCGTGAGCATCTCTGTGAGCTTCACTCATGGGGTCTGCGGGGAGAGCTATGGAAGAGCAGCAGGTGACACCAGGGGAAGATAAGGCTGGGGACAAAGGTAAGGGTCAGCCTTTGGACCTTGGCCATAGAACCAGAGGAGGGGCAAAGGGCCACAGGGCGTCCAAGCTCCGGTCCTGCTCTGGGTTCCCCCCACTCACCTCCCCCAAGGCTCTCTGCCCAAACCTTTCTGTGTCACAGGCCTGGCAGGGTGCCTAGATGCCAGCACTGGGCCATATGCTCTTCCTCCTGGGCGCAGGGTCATGTTTGGTGTGGACAGTAGCAGCTGCCCCTGCCCAGCCCTCCCCAGCTGCCACCCCACGTTGAGGTCATTTCCTTTTTTCATTTGTTCCATGAAAAAAAAAAAAAATCTCCCTGAGTTAGAGGACAGGCAGGCTCTGCTCAGAACGAGCCCCCAGGGAGCGGCCAGCAAGCCCCAGGACAGCGCAGAGCTCAAGGAAGACGGCGGGGAACCAGAGGTGACGCACCCGGCTGCTGACACCCCGGAGCCCCATTTCCCCTAAAGCCCCCTTGACTCTGTGGATATAACTGATCTCCGGCATTCTCGTCTTTCTTAATAACCACAAGCAGATGACTAGTTTGCTGCCTGTGGTCAAAATATGGAAAATGTTTTATCTTGTTTCCTTCATCCTCCATTCATCCACCCATCCAGCTATTCTTTATCCACTCGTCCTTTCTCCCTTCCTTCCTCAAGCATTTTTCATCCTTCCTCTGTCCACCTGCACTTCTGTCTTTCCATCATCCACCCACCATCCATCCATCTATGCTTCCTTCCATTTTCCATCCAATATCTGGCCTTTCTTTTCATTCAACTGTCTTCCTTTCTCTCGTCCTCATTCTCTCAACGTGTCCTTCCAACCACACATCCATGTTTCCTTTTCCTTACCCCCATCCACCATCCTCCACCTGTCTAATCAGTCTTCCAACTGTCCCTACCTCCTTCCTATCCATCAGTGCATCCACTGATCACATTTTCATGAACGCCTCCCTTCTTAGGCTGGACACTGCTTAGATTCAAACACTCACGTCTTAAGTTCATGTCCACATTTTCAATCTGAATAAACCGTAGACTGTTCTAGAAATATCTCAGAGGGAAGACAGACTTCAAAAGCGAAAGGGACAACTTGAGACCCGCAATACAGTAGGGGTGTCCACAGGAGGTGATGCGAGTTGGGGTGATGCCATCCCATGGCTGGTTGGAATGGATTCCCTGGATGTCCTTATGGGACCTCACGCTGCCCAGGAGGGCATCTCAGACTGAAGGGACAGAGACGCATGGAGACATCAGAAGCAGGGAGACTCCCACACGTGGAGCAGGGCGTTGGGAGTGGAGAGGAGGAGCAGCCTGGAGGAGGCCCCTGACAAATTTGGACTTTATCAAGAAGCCAGTAAGTGTCCTAGGAGAAAGATGCACGCGGCTGCGCGAGGAAGGATAGAATGTGGGGAGCCAGAGCGTGTCACCGGAGACAGATGATTTGGAAGTTCCCTCTGGTAAGCGGCATGGGAGAGAGGCTGTGGTCGGCCAGGATGGGGGTCAAGTGGCGTTGAGTGTTATCCAGAGTGCAAAGGGAGCAGGTGGTGGACAGGCGATGAGGGTGGACCCTGAAGGGACTCCCACTGGGTGTTCAGGTGACAATGTGGGGGCTGGGGAGTGGGAGGGGTGGGGGGTGGGAGGGCGGGGGGTGTCTGTGTTCAGTTATGTGGAGTCTAAGGTCTTGAGGCTCCTGCCAGGTGCCAGTTGCCAGTGGGCACACAGACCCAGAGCATGGGGCAGAGCTGGCCTTCACGCCTATTAGCGCGTCTGCCCAGGGCTGTCCTCAAAACGAAACTGGGCACTACTCACTCACTCACTCACTTTCAGAGTTCTCTCTGAGTGTCATGTGCCTGTCGTATTGTAGGCCAGGGGGCACACAGCGAACAGGTCCTCCATGTCCCTGGCTTCCTGGGACCTGCATTCCAAGGACGACAAGACCCACTGGACACTTGAGGAGTCTGAGTCCCAGAGAGGTGAAGCAACCTGCCCACGGATGCAGCGGAGCTGGTGGCCAGGGGAGAGCAGAAGCCAAGGGGCTGAGGAGCTGTGGACAGGGAATGGAGCTGAGCGGGGGCTTCCCGAGACCCAGGAGCCTCTGGCACTGTGCCAGCTGCCGGGTGACTCAGCAAATGTCATTTCCGCTCAGACCAGGGCCGAGAGCCAGGCGGGGGGCGGGGGGCTGCAAGGTCCCCGGTGGGATGCCAGGTGTGGGGCAGAGCTTCCGCGGCCTTCCTTCCGGAGGCTGCTTGGTTTCCTCTCCCTCTTCCTGCGGGAACCTGCCTCCCCTCACACCCACCCCCTCCGTCCCGCCGTCTCCTCCGCTTCCTCTTCATCTGGCCTCTCCCCTCAGCCAGACCCGGGCCTCTGGCCGATCGCACGCAGGGCTGACCGAGGGGGCCGAGGCGTGTCTTCTGGCCCCTCCAAGATGCCTCCATTTGCTGCCCTGTGAAGCGGTGCTGTTTGAGCTCAGGGACTGCGTGAGGCTTTGCAAACCACACAGGACCCTTGGGTTTGCTGGGCTGAGCAGAAGCTTGAGGCCTAACTGACAGCCCCAACTGTGGTGATAAACGCTCGCGTTATGCCACTTAATCTTCATAACAAATCTATGAAGTAGGGAGCACAGAGGGGTTCAGTAACTTGCCCAAAGTCACACAGCTAGCAAGTGTTGGGCTTAGGTTTGAATCCAGACTATCCAGTCTCCACTGCCTTAATGCTGGACCATCATAGGCTCTACCTTTTCAAAAACTGGAAGGACCACATTGGCTATAGGAGAAGAGGAGCTGGCATGCTCAGTATGGAGAAGAGATGGCTTGGGTACATGGGGACCAGTGGGGAATTTGGGGGACCCCTTCCCCCTCTCTTCATCTATCTAGCTCCTGCCTACCCCTTCTGACTTAACTCCAGGGTCAGCACTCAATCAGCACCCTCCTGGATGCTTGTGGAGTACAGGTGGTTATTTTGTTGCATCGAGCACATTCTCTGCACCAGGTACTGGGCTAAGCACCTAGTGGGGTTCTTCCATTGAATCCTCGTGGCGTCTCTGTCAGTGCCTGACTTGGCCAGGCAGAGGTCTCTGGTGGCAGTTGCCGAAGCCCACTGGAGTCAGCTTCAGAGAAAGGGAGCTTGGTTGGCAAGCCCCGGAGCCTTGGGGACACCTGGTCTCAGGGAAGGACTGTGGCGGACACCAGGAACCCACACTTCTCCTACAGTCTGAGGCCATGGCATCTCTTACTGCATCTCTTACCCTGCGTCCTGAGACCCCTGGGACAGGAGTCTGCTCAGTTTAGAAGGAACTTCTCCAAGTCAGAGTTGTTCAGACACACAGGGGATGGCCTCTGGAGAGAGCGCCAACTCACCAGGACACATGCCAGCAAGGACAGAAAGGCTTGGGGGAGAATGTCCTGGCTCTGAGGAGGCGTGGGCCCAGGCAGCCTTCTGAGGACCCCTCCCATGGGAGCCACTTGGGGCTGAGAGATCCAGAATTGCATTTCCAATGCCTCCTTGGTGTCTTCCCAGGGTGTCTAGTGGGCATCTCCCCTATACCAGCCTGTCTCACAGATTTCCCCGTCCCTGCCCATAGCACCTCCAGCCTTCCAGATGCCCAGGACAGAACCAATGTCGCTCTCTTTGTCTTCCATTTCACATCTGATCTTCCTTGGACTCTGCTGTTCCTACCTTCAGGATCTACCAAGTCGGACTTGCTCCTACCAGCCTGGGCCAAGCCACTGGCCTCTCTCATCGGTAACTGCTGATCTCCATTTAGTCCACTCCCAGTGCAGGGGGTTCGGTGGTTTGGATAAGTGTCCCACAAAGCCCCATGTGTTAAAGGCTGGTGCCCAGCCTGGGGTGCTGTTGGAAGGTGGTATAACCTTTAAGAAGAGGGGCCTGGTGAAAGGTCTTCCCATCCCTGGGGACAAGTCCTTGAAGCAGATATTGGGACCCCAGCCCCCTCCTCCTCCTGTCTTTTCCACATGGTCCTGAGAGTTAAACAGGCTTCCTCTCTACACACACCCACCATGATGTGCTGGGCTGCCACAGGCCCAAGACCAGGGCCAATCAGTCATGACGGAAACCTCTGAAACTGTGAGCTTTGCTTTTCAAGTTGATTTATCTCAGCTACTTGTTACGGTAACAGAAAGCTGATTAACACAGGAGCTTTCCAAATAAAGTCGGACCATGTCCTGAGTGGCCCCACCTACGCAGCAGAAGCCAGTCGCACAGTGGCTCCCACGATCTGGCCCCGCCTCACCTCCTCCCACTGCTCACCCCTTTCTCCCTCTCTGCAGTCTCTCTGCCCTCCTTGCTGTTCCTCCAAAGAACCAGTCGCAGTCCCCTCCTCACAGCTGTGCACGGGCTGCCCCTAGGCCGAGCCCTGTCCGCCCACCTGCCCAGCCCAACCCTGGTGCCCCAGGCCCTTGCACACAGTAGGATTTTTCTCTATTTCTGTTTTCCTTTCCCATAGCACTTGCAAGCTTCATATTCTGTATAATTTCAAATGTATTATTTTTCATTACAATCTGTCTCAATCCACTGAAACATAACCCATAAATAAACTCTCAGGACACTGACTTGACTTTTTCTGCTCACCGATGTGTCCAAAATGTCTACGAGAAGATTCACACAACATAGGTGCTGTCAATCAATGCGACGGTGGAAGGACAGGCTGCGAGTTGGGAGCAGGGGCTGGCCTGGGGACCCGGGTAGACTCGGCCCGGCCTTCTTCCACTCCTGCTCTCATGCAGCGTGGGTGAGCCCCTGGGGGAGACTGGACCTCAGCTGTCTCTGTGGAGAGCTCAGGGGTACTAAAAACCTCTGGAATTGTACAAAAACTTTGGGGCCACTTGTTTCCTGGGGGAAGGAGACAGTTCTTTTCCCCACAGTGTCTGTCACCTCCTGTGGTACTGCATAATTTACTGATTTATTATGTTGCTTCTAAATTTACTAGTCCCTCGTCACTAGACTCCTGGGGGCTTTCTGGTTTTAACAGTGGAGAACCCTCGTCATCCTGTTGTTCGGGGCCTTGCCCACCAGGCTCCCCTGGGGCCCGTGACTGTGGCCCAGCTGGAGAGGTGAGCCAGTCCTCCAGGCCTCCCCAGACCCTCTCCTTCCCTGGTGGTTTTCCTACCCACACGGCCTGCCCACCATCTCCTGGGGCCTTAGCTCTGCCCCTCCGAGTCTGCAGGATCACGGTGGTGGCTGGGAGGCCACTGTGGAGCTCTCCGTGGTCCTGAACCGCCTCCCTGGTCCCCGCCTTGAGTGACGTGGAGGTGGTTTCTTTGGGAAGGAGATGTTTGGGGAGGAATCTTGTGGCCCCAGAGAACCTTCTCCTGCTCCTGCTCTCCTTCCATGTTCCCCTCTCTGTCTCTACCTCCCAGAACCCTAACCCGGCTTCTGTAGCTTAAATTAAACCTTACCCCCGAGAAACCTTCACAGGAAGCTTTCTTGATTTCTGCAAAACTGAGGAAGGACCCCTCCATTGTGTTTGGGGGGATCCTCTACTTCCCGTGTTCCAGTGTATGGTGCTGCCCATCTTCTGGTCCCACCGGTCAGTTGCAGGTTGTGTCTCCCTCACTGTTGTGTCCCCTGCATATAGATGATAATAAATTTTGGCTGAACAAATGAATGAATTCATGGGTGAAGTGATGCGTGGTGGGTGGTCTGGGGAAGAAATGCCTCAGGTTTGCTCCTCCCCTTGGTCTAATCCGGGACCACTCTGCCAGGCTCTGTCAGGGGCAGGGAGGAGAAACGGGAGCTTGGTGTGGTGCTTCCCCAAGTGGGTACATGACTTGGTGAAGGAACTAACAGCAACTAGGTACCTGAGCCCTGAGCTACAGATGGGAAAGCCATGCCATTGCTCTGTGGCTCCATAGCTCAGGAGTGAGAGAGAAAAACTTGAAGCTCTCACCTTTGGCTCTGGACCTGTCTCTGTGCCCTGCCAGCCATCACTTCCCTTCTGAAGATGCTGGGTAAAAATCTGTCTCTAGGGAAATGTCTGGAGTCCAAGATGCTTTGGAAAATTAGGACCCGTGGGCTAGGTTACATTCTTTGGGTGACAGCTCATGGGGTCATGGAGACTGCACTGGCGCCCCATGAGTGGTTCTGCTGTCCAAGTTTTCTCATTGGAAACTGGGCAAGAGGCCCCTTCTTAACAAAGGTTGCACTTTTGCAAGGACCTTTTCATACTCCCAAAGTGTCTGGGCAGTTGAGTCCCTCGGAAGATTTGTGGTAAGTGCAATGTGGCCCAATCTGGCCTCGGTCTTTCCATAGCCAGAGCTCTCAAGATAGCCCAAGCCCCAGCCACTGGTTGATCTGTGGGGCCTTGGGGAAATCCCACGGGTGTCCAACTTGAGGATCTTCCGCTGAAGGGTTCTGAGGAACTGTCCCAGATATCCACCACATAATCATCTAGGGGCTGGAAATCCCAGGAGGCTGCCACAGCCTGGATTCTAAAAGGCTTTGATGCTCACAGATGGTGCATTGTATATGTAGTTACTCAATAAAAACTATCTGCTCAAGGGACAATGGTTTTAGAAACATGGTGTCTTATTTTTTGGGGGGTATGACAAAATACCATACTCTGGGCAGCTAATAACCAAGGGAACTTTATTTCTCATAGTTTAGAGACAGAGAAGTCCAAGATCAAGGTGCTGGCAGATATGATGTCTGGCGAGGGCTTGCTTTCTGGTTCTCAGGCGGCACCTTCCCACAGTGTCCTCACAGGTTAGAAGGGGCAAGGTCTCTGTGGGGTCATCTGACAAGGGCACTAACCCCATCACAAGGTCTCACCCTCACGACGTGGGGTGATGACTTCCCAATACCATCACCTTGGTGAGTAGATTTGAACATATCAATTTTAGAAGGACAGAAACATTCATACCATAGTATGTGGAGCTGATGACAGAAAAATAATCCAAAAGGAGCTGGGAGGTTCTTGGTGGAGCCTTGACAAAGCGGGCATTGGCCTCCTGCTAGGAGCCTGGGCCTCAAGGCTCAGTCTGATGGGCAAAGAAAGGAAAGAAAGAAGGAGCAAATGTGGGGCTCTGGGCCCTGATTGGAGCTTACTACAGACTGATTTTGTGATCTTCCAACTCTGGCTGAAAACTGGAGCTGTTAGAAGGGGAGAAACACAGCAGCCCAGTAAACCCCGCCATCTTGTCAGCTTGGTCAGCCCTAGGCAGGGTGGCTTACATAGCGTTTATCTTTCACAGTTATGGAAGCTGCTAAGCCCAAGATCAGGGCTGGTTTCCAGAGAGGTCCTCTTCCTGGCTTGCAGATGTCACCTTCTTGCTGTGTCCTCACATAGTGGAGAGAGAAATCATCTCTCTCATGTCTCTCCTTACAAGGGCACTAATGCCATCATCACACCCACCCCATGACCTACTCATCTCCCAAAGTCCACAGCTCCAAATTTCAGCCTATGAATTTGGGGGGGCACATTCAGTCCACAGTAGTGGTAGTCTCCCCAAGTTCCCACTATTTTTCTGCATCCCTCTGGCTCTCAACAGCTGGCCTGTTCTCTGACTATGATGTCCTCAGGCATCCCACGTCCCCAGAAGACTCTGTACTGACCCAGGAGAGACTCCTGGGCAGTCAAGAGCCTTTGCAGTCTTGGGCAAGTCAGGGGTCCCCTCTGGCCCAGGTTCCCCCTTATAAAATGTGACAGGTTAGATACTCGCTGAGGGTTCCTGGCACCAGGGCTCCCACCCTAGATCTTGTGGGGGGCAGGGCCGGGCCTCTGCAGAGAGCAGAGCTGGCCCTGAATCCTGGCAGCAGCTGCAGAGAGCCGCCCACGCACAGGCGGGCAGGCAGGAGGCAGGGTGCTGCAGCCTCGTTGCCAAGAGCAGAGAGAACTTTCCACTGGGTCCAGATTTTTTCATCACCATGGCAACCAGTGGGGGTGGAAGCAGAATTCCTCAGAATTCTGGGGAGATTATATGGGGGAAGGAAGAACAAGAAGGTGAGCCCTGCGCCAGCCCTGAGATCAAGGCCAGCACCCATATCCCCTCTGCCCTCTATACTCCTTTTCTCCCTCTTGGAATGTTTCTGTCTCCTTTTCTCCTCTCTGCATCCCTCTTTCCCATTCCCTTTCCTGAGCCCAGCTCTCAGGAATAGTAGCTGATACTATTATTCCTGGCATGTGCTATGCACCAGGCCCCCTTCCCAGGGTCAGAACTCATTTCACCCTTACAGCCCTGGGTGGCAGGTACTATGGTCATCCCATTTTACAGATGAGGAAATAGGGGCCCAGGAGGTTCCGTGACTGGCCCCAGTGTACACAGTGAATTGTGGACTCCAATGATTGCACCCCCTACTAGTATGGTGTTTGGAGGGTCTCCCTTATACGAGAAATTCAGGAGCTGTTAATGAACAGGGGTGCGGTGGGAGCAGAGAGGGAGTGCAAGTGGCATATGACCATTCTCTGGAGACCCCACAGGGCCCCTTCTTCCCCCTTCCCTTTGTCTGCACCCCACGCCAACCTTCCAGTTTTAAAGAAGGGCAAAGGGCAATGCCTGGGAAGCCTCTTGGCTTAGGGATGGCCAGAGACCTGAACGCCATTCCCAGCATCCTCCCCATCTTCCAGGGGTACCCTGGGGAGAGAGACCCTGACTTATGCCACACCACGATCTTGCAAGAGAATTTCTCAGAATTCCAGGGGTTTGCTGCTCTCCTTGAGGCCCCTCAGGTGCTGACAGGAGCTCATGGGTAAAAATATTGCGGGAGCAGCAAAGAAGCAATTCAGTCAGGCCAGTCACTTGGCGAGGCCTAAACACCAGAACAAACCAGGCCTGGGAAAGGTCCGCTTCCCCTTCGGGGACTGGGGCTCTCTATTCCTGATTTTAAAGACGGCCGGCTCCTCTTCAGGCTGACTGCGCCTGCTCCTCACTCCCTCCTGGCTTCCTGGGGCTCAGGCTCCTCCTGCTCACTGCCTTCAGGGTGACTTTTGTCTTCAGGTCCCTCTATAGATTGTCCCAAACTCCAAAATCTCTGCCTCAGATTGCCAAGAGAGACCCAGCCTGGCCCTCCTAATAACTAGCGAAACGATTGGTCAGAACTCCTCCTCCAGACATCTCATTGGCTGCTTGCCCGGCTACTGATTGGCTGCCCTGGGCCTAGGGTGCCCCACCCCCCGGGGCCCTATCCAATCAGCTGTGGCAAGGGAGGTGGGGCCTCGCGTTACTGTTGTTCAGCTGAGGGCCGCGTTTTCTCCCTGGGAAAGTCATTTTCAGTGGGGGATTCTTTTACTTGAGCAGCCACCTTGGTAACTTGGAGTTGTGCCTCGTGTTCCTGCCGAGGAGTCGCGTGCTTCGGTTGGTCACATTCCTTCCAAGTTTCTGTTACTTGCAAACCGAAGTCTGTTTACGAGGTTCCTTTGAGCGGCTGGTAGGGAGCACCTAGGGAGGCTCCTGCTCCCACCTGCAGGCATTGGGGCTGCTCCCTGGCTTCAAGATGCCTACGCTGGAAAAGGTCCAGAGACGTGAACTCACCCAACACCCCTGCAACCATTTTGGTCAAGCCACAAAGTAGGCTCGGAGAACCCAGCCCTGGACCAAGCCGCCCACTGTGAGGG